GGTCCACATGGATTTCCTTGAAGCTGATCAGGAGCACCTCTTGGTACGTTATGGCACTGCTGTATCCCTTGGTCCCCATTGACTCTTCCAGAGCTTTCAGCCCCAAGATTCCCGTGGTTTCGTGCTGTCCTTTGCCACTCCAGACGTTCATTACGAAGACGATCCACTTCCGCCTGCAGGGTCCTCAAATCTCCGTATACTCTTCTAGCTGTCGTTGTACTTCAGCCTGTAGTCTCGACGAATGATCCGAATCCACCTCCGAGACCTGACCGTAGATCAAAGGGTTCTCACGCTGGGACTGCCGCATTTGTGCAATCTGCCCCTGATTGAAGAGAGGCTGTGGGCAGGCGACGATGTACTCGCTGTCCACGAACTCGGAGGACGAAAGACCCTTGTGGTCGACGCCGGAAGGTCCTCAGGTGGGGAGAAGTTCATCCTTTCCTCTTGGGGTCCACCTGGTTGACGAGTCGCGAAAGACTGCTGTCCTGTAGAGGTTCCAGAAGCAATGCCCAGATTGTCCATGACACGGTCCAACCCGTTCACACTCCTGGTAGCAGCAATCCTCATGAACTCTGTAAACCTCGCCATCCATCTAACGTTCCTCTCTTCTGTTCCCACTCTCGTAGACTCCGCCGAGTAGAACTCCTGCACTCTCACCGCTGATTCATTCCGGTTAGGGGTCAGTAGATGCTGTGCAGAAGTCGATCTCGTTGGGGTCAAAGGCGCTTCCTGTACCGTCGGAATTATAACGTCCGCGCTCCGATCCGGTTCCCCATACGGGGGCTCGGCCACGTCCGGTCTAAGTTCCGTCGAGGCTGTGGTGTCCGAGGCGGGCTGGTTCACTATTGCAGGTGCAGGGTCATGGAGATTTGGGTTTCCATCCACTCCACTATCCAGCATTCCAGGCATAGAGCTCGCTTGCACCACTGTAGGAATCACGCCATTCGGCTGTCCCCTTGCTGGGGCCATTGCGCCATATGTTCTTGAAGAAGTAGAAGTCGCAGAAATGCGCTCTGTCGTTTGGGCGCTCATAACCTATAGAACTCTTAAAAGAGCTCCGTAATATGACTGCTGTTCTCGTAGAGGTTCCAGGTCTTATGCAGCTGAGCTGCGCCAGGGAAACATGGCGGAGAGGCTCTAACTTTTTGCGTCACAACGGCACAAGAAGTATGCGCTGTTCAATGGCGTGACTGAACACCTTGTTCAATCATGATTGCAGCACCGGACGCTCGCCTTGAGCACTCCCATAAGCTGCGAAGTACGGCTGGCGC